GATGAGCTTCAGCGGCCTTGGATGGCTGTGCAGATATGGAGCGACACGTACTAGCATTTGCTGTATGGAAGTGTGGTGTGGTCTTTGTCTGCATATGCTACAAGGTGGGGATTGTGATAGGGGGTTATCTATGTTAAGTTGAAAGGAGGTCCATCGTTGTGGTGTGGAGTCAAACATTGTACATGTGCTAGATATTCTTGTACGTGGCGTATGTAGTATGAGTACATGATGAGTTTGTCCTTATCATATTAGTCTTACTAGCAAAACGAAAAAACTGTATGCTGCACATGGTGCAATAAAAATGTAGGACATGCTGAGTAAAGGACCCTGGTTCCTACTCCCCAGGGGGGCGCATATCTGGGTGGATACAGTATGTGTACTTACTACCTCTTGATGCCACAAGAATGTCAACTTATACATTTGCTGTGCATGTCTACTTATAGGCTAGACAAGTTCGTGCTCTTAGAGAGTACAACCCAAACCCTTATATCACCATGTATGCTCTTGATAAAGTTCACTTAGTTACTCTGACATGGTATCACGCTAGGTAAGTCCCACCCACCTGCGCTTCCTCCCGAACCTACCTTAGAACACCCCGCCCTAGCCTACCGTAGAGCGCCCCTACCCTAGCTCGCCGCACTTGCCCTAGCTCGCCGCGCCGCGCTGGCCCTAGCCCGCCGCGCTGGCCCTCTGTTCGCCGCGTCGGCCCCTAGTTCGCCGTGCTGCGCTGGCCCCTAGCCTGCCGCGCTGCACTGGCCTAGCCCGCCGCGCTGGCCCTCGCTCACCACGCCGGCCCTAGCTCCCCGCGTCGGCCCTAGCTCGTCGCCGGCCCCTCGTCGCGTTGGCCCCAGCTCGCCATGTCGGCTCCAGCTAGCCGTGTCGCCCTAGCTCACCGCGTCGCCCCAGCTCGCCGCGTCGGCCCTAGTTCGCTGCGCCAGACCTAGCTCGCCGCGCCGGACCCAGCTCACCACGTCGGCCCCAGCTCGCCGCGCCGCCCCGGCTCACCGAGTTGGGTCCAGCTCGCCACGCCGCCCCAGCTCGTCGCGTCGGCCCCAGCTCGCCGTGCCAGCCCCTACTCCCCACGCTGATCTCTCCTCGCCGCGTCGGCGTTTGCCAGCTGTGCAGGCCCCTGCTCGAAGCACGAACCCCTGCTAGCCGTGCCCGCCCCTGCTAGCCGAGCCAGCCCCTTCTCACCGCCGGCCCCTACTCACCACCGACCCCTGCTCACTACCGGCCCCAGCTTGCCGCCGGCCTTGATTCCTCCTCTGCGCCGGTGCCCTCGCCGGCCGTCTACTCTCCCGTGTCTTCACCGCACATTACTGCACTCCACCGCTCTCCACCACTCTCCACCGCACTTCACCACACCTGCCTGCTGCCTGCTCCTCCTCGTTCTGAGTTCACCAGCTACTGTAGCTGTGCGTGATGGCGGACGCCATTCTCCACCTGGACACAGAGGGTCGTGTAGTGGATTTCGAGGCATGGCTTGCCAACCTACGCCACGAGCTGAAGGGTCAGCGCCAGGATGGCCAGTCTCTGGCCGTCCATGTCGACGATAAGCTTCCCTGCACCCTCGCGCCTGCTGCCCTTGCAGACGCCCCCACGCCTGCTGGGCGTGAGGTTTTCACAGTTGCTGAGCTCGCCCGCTCTGTCTAGAAGTCACGTGATGCCACTGCGCAGCTAGCTATTAGTCACGCTCTCCCATTGTCCGAGCGTCCCCACTTTCAGGCACTAGAGACGGCCAAGGAGTACCTAGACGCAGTCATTGCTCACTATTCCACTCCCTCATCCGCCTTTGCTGGCCGTCTCCTCCTGCCCCTGCTCTTCCCTGACCTCGCATCATTCCCCACTGTCGCTGATCTTGCCACTCTCCTGTGCGCTCTCTAGGCTAGCTACCGCGCTCCTAGCACTGAGGCTCAGCTCACTGTATTTCCTCCCCCCCTCAGTGCTACCCTTTATTTCCTAGCCACACGCCTCCCCGACCGCCTAGCCATTGCCCGTGACACCTTCCTGAGTCTCCACCCCGTTGACCTCACCCTTAGCGACTTCGTCGCCACCCTGTCGGCGATAGAGACCTGCCAGCGCACTATTGTTCAACCTAGTGCTCCCTATCTTCTAGGGCTGTGCTCCCTCCCTGTGCACTTACTCTGACATTTCCGCTGCTGTCGCTGAGATAGTCCATGTCGCTGAGACAACCGTTGCGGCCCCAGCACAGCCTTTTCAGGGTAGAGCCCTACGTCGCTACAGAGGGGGGCGTACGGGAGCAAAGGGTGCTGGGGTTGGCGGGGATGGCGGGGGAGGTGGAGGTGGTGGGAGCGCTGGGAGTGTAGACGAGGGGGTGGGGGCTGACACCCTAGAGCAGCAGCATCAGCAGCAGCAGCAGCAGCAGCAGCAGCCGCAGCAACAGCAGCAGCATGAGCAGCAGTGGGGGCCCCCGCCGTCGTGGTGGCTCGGCGGCCTCGGTGGTGGTGGCCGCGGAGGCGGCCCTCGCAGCTCGACGTCGGGTGGCGGCTCCAGTTCGGTGAGTTGCCAGTACTAGCTTCAGACTGGTCCCCTTTGTGGCACCGCCCGCTGCTACCGCCGCCATGACGACCTCTTCCGTCTCCGCTTCGGGCATGCGACGGCCCTTCGGGAATGGCACAGCCCGGTACGTTGCCGTGTGCTAGTCTTTGAGATGGATATGGATCAAATCCAATCTGCTTTGTATGCCATATATGCAGATGACTCTAGTGTTACTAGACCTTAATACCCTGTGTTGCCTAGCCTAGGTGTGTCTACTGTGTGTTGTCTATGCTCCCTTGCTGCATCAGGCGTTGGACCTCCTGACTTGTTTAGCCTTGGCTCTACGCTATTGCCCCCACCGGCTGACACTACCGCCGCGCTCTCCTTCACATTCGACTCTGGTGCGTCTGCCTGCTTCTTTTGCAACCACACCACTCTCATGCAGCTTTCAGCACTAGCAACACTCTCACTTGCCGATCCCTCCTCCGGTCCGGTAGTTGCACATAGCTCCACCATACTTCCTTGTCCGGTGGTTCCCACGGGCTCTTTTATGAGTCTGCACATCCCCTCATTCTCCAGGAACCTGGTTGGTATCGGCTGTCTTCAGGACCTCGGCGCCACCACCACGTTTCCTGGACACGAGCGGTACGGTGTCTGTACCTAGGCCGCCACGAGTGCCCCCCTCACCACGTTCCCCCGGGACCTAGTGTCTGGCATGTTCACGCTGCAAACCGTGTCCTCCTCGGTAGCTGCGTCCCCCCACGTGGCTGCGTCTACCCAGGTTGCTGCAGCGTGCTCATATTGGTCGCTCACTCACCTGTCGCTTCTGTGGCACCACTGTCTAGGTCACCCGGCACTCCCATGTCTACATTACATGTCTCAGCATGGTCTTGTCTTAGGTCTCCTTGCGTCGCTCCCTGCCCTCCCTCCCTCGCCCGCGCCTCCGTGCACGCCTTGCGTCAAGGGCCGGCTACACTGTGCTCCTCATTCCTCTTCATTTCCCCCCACCACTGCGCCACTCCAGACCCTGCACCTGGACGTCTGGGGCCCAGCCCCAGTCTCTGGGCCGCGTCGTCGGCGCTACTTTTTGGTTCTTGTAGACGACTACTCGCGCTACACCACGGTGTTTCCCCTGAAGCGGAAGGCCGACATGCCTGACGTTCTTATCCCATGGTTTGTAGCTGCTCGAGTCCACCGCGCCTAGCTAGTGCTTCATCTCCACTCTGACCATGGCGGTGAGTTCACCTCCGGTCGGCTTGGCCAATTCTGTCGTGCGGAGGGCATTACCTAGGGCTCGACTCCCCACAGCAGAATGGGTTTGATGAGCAATGCATCGGTTTGGTCATGGAGGTGGCTCATACCTCCACAATAAATGCTGGTGCACCCATGTTCTATAGACGTTCGCAGTTCGCTACGCAGCTCACCAACTTAACATGTGGCCTCGCTCTTCGCGCCCCCAGGTTTCGCCGACCCTTCCCTGGACCGCATCCCCTGGTGACGCATTTGCATTCCACGTCTGGGGTTGCCTAGCTCACGTCCGCGCCTGTGGCGCAGACAAGTTTACCGCCCGCACCGTCCCTTGTGTCTTTCTTGGTTTCCCCCTAGACGGTTCTGACTGGCACTTCTACCATCTGTCGTCTCACCGTTTCTTTCACTCGCGTGATGTCACATTTGACGAATCTGTCTCCTTCTACACTCATTTCCCCCACTGAGGTCTCCCTGTTATCCCGCCCCTGTTACTTGTTCCCACTCCCCCAGTAGCTCTCGCTCCCGGTCTTGCCACGTGCGGTGTGTCTCATGTTACTCCCCTTCCTTTAGTTGGCCCGACGGAGTAGTCTACTGACTGCGGGGGCCCTGAGGCTCAGGGTGAGCTGCCCGTTTCTATGACGCCTGCACCCTCGGCCCCGGTCCCTCCTCTGCTGCTGCAGCAGCAGCAGTCGCCGCCATCGCCGCAGTAGCAGAAACAGCCGCCACCGCAGCAGGGGTCAATTTGCTCTGGGTGTCACAGAATCGAATTTGTCCCATTTTGGAGAATTTGTCGATGACGACGAGGATTGTGTCATGACCGCTTGTGGTATTTGGTAACCCGGTTATGAAGTCCATGCTAACCACTTCCCATGGCTGTTCTGGGACCGGAAGAGGCTGTAGCATTCCTGCCTTTTTCTGCTTGCTGCTCTTCATCCGCTGACATGTGTCGCACGAGGTGACGAATTTCTGTATGTCGTCTACCATGTGGGGCCAGTAGTAGTGCTTTGCAGTACCGGTGAGTGTCTTTTTCCTACCAAAGTGCCCTGCATATAGGACACCGTGGTATCATTTGAATAGTAATTGGAGCAAAGGAGGGTAATTGGGTACCCCGATTTTCGTTGATCTTGATCCTTTCCGGTATAAGATGTCACCGTCCCACTGTAGTAGCTGTCGCTTTTATGCCAAGGGAACTTCGGGGTCAATGGTGTACCCATGTGTGAAGAGTCCCTTGAGTAGTGGGTCATCCCTCCGACCTGGATAGCGGCAATGTGTGCAGGCTGGCTAAGAGCGTCTGCTTTGTTTTTTTGGCCAGGCTTGTACACGATGTCGTAGTGGAAGTGCGTCTTGAGGAAGTCGATCCACCGGACCTGCCACCTGGAGAGGTTTGGCTGTGTCTTCAAATATTTCAGGCTGCAGTGGTCGGTGTAGACGGTTGTTTTTCGTCCTTCGAGGTAACATCTCCACGTTTTGAAGGCGATGATAATAGCAAGGGTTTCTTTGTCGTGTATCGGGTAGTTTAGTTCTGCCCCGTGCATTTTTTTGCTGAGGTAGGTGATCAGTTGTAGACCATTCCCCTGATCTTGCATTAAGACCGCTCTCACTGCCTGGTCACTAGCGTCAGCCTCGACGGCATAGTCGCGTTCGGGGTCTGGCAAGAGGAGTACAGTTGCAGACGTGAGTGCTTGTTTCAGCTGCTCCACGGCTTCCTGATGTTTTGGTTCCCACTTATAGGGCGTGTTCTTCTTCAGCAGATTCGTGAGTGGCGCGGTGATTTTTGCGTACTGTGACACGAACCTGTTGTAATAGTTAGCGAAGCCTAGGAACTGCTGCAACTCCATTACGTTCTCGGGTGTCTTCCACGTGCGTACAGCTTCGATCTTCTTGGGGTCGACGTAAACTCCTTGAGCGCTAACCATGTGTCTTAGGAATTGGATTTTCTCGAGGGCAAATTCGTTCTTGGATGATTTGACGTAGAATCGTTCTCGTCGAAGATTGTCAAAGACGCATCGCAGGTGTTCAACGCGTTGCTTCATGTCACGCGAGTAGATGAGGATGTCGTCCAGGTACACCACCACGCATTCGTCCAAGAGTGGACATAGAATGTGGTTCATTTCGGCTTGGAATGTTGCCAGTGCGTTGGTGAGTCTGAACGGCATGACCAAATCCTCGTAAGACCCGTACCGAGTTCGGAAGGCAGTTTTGTGGATGGAATTGTCCGCCATTCTTATCTGCCAATATCGGACTGCACATCTAGTTTTGAAAATACCGTCGCTCCTCGAAGCTGGTGAAGCACGTCATGGCACAGTGGATGGTCGGATGAGTCATTTGGCGAGGAGATACTCGATTCGTTTATTCATGTCGGCTAGCTCCGTGGGGCTGAGCCGATATGGTGCTCGGAAGGTTGGCTTCGAGCATGGTTCTTTCACGATCTCGTGTTGGTGCGTTCGGTATGGCGGTAGCTCGTTTGGAAGGTCATCGAGAAGAATGTCTTGGAACTCCTTCAGTAACTCCTTGATTTTTTCTGGAGGTTCCGAGTTTTTCTTTCGGTCATCTTCCACAATTGTTGCTATAGCCAAGAAACCGGTGTCGGTTCGTTTCACGTCCTTCTCGAACCTAGCGAGTGTCTCCAATGAGATATCTCTTGTGTCATCCCAGTTGGGTAGCTGGACTCTCCTTCAATTGTTGTAGATGCTTGCGGTACGGTTTACCCAGTTGATCTCGGGGCTGAAAATTTTTAGGAAGTCTCGCCCGAAGATCAAGTCAAGCCATTTTATGTTGGTAATGGGGAGTGCAGGTTTCCAGCGCAGTGGTCCGATTTGTAGGTGTAACACTACTTCGCCGTACACTGGTAACTTGTTGTCGTCCACCATCATTGCAGAGAATGATGAAGGCTTGTACTCTTCCCGAAGTCAGCCGATTGATGCCTTGTCGCATACGGTGTGTGATGCTCCGCTATCCACGCGTGCTTGGAGGCGTCGTCCTTTGCAGATGACCTCGAGCACGAGGGGCAGGCGTTGCTCGGAGTACCCAAAGATAGTTTCGTTAATGGGATCATAGGGTATAGCACATCCCAATATTCCGTACACAACTTTTCATTGATTCCTACTCCTGAGCCGGCAGCTGGTCGAGGCTGCTTGGAGAAAGGTTCTTCCCCAGGGCCCGGAGTTTCCTTGACGACTGTGTGTGTCGTTGATGCCGAAATTGCTGAACTGGATGCATCCCAAGGAGGAGTTCGGGGCCTTAGCAGCTTTTTGTAGACCCCCAACTTCCTCTTGAGTTGCTTCAGCTCCACCGACGACTTCCGTGGGGAACAGGTAGTCGTTGTGGGCTGGTGTCGGGAGAGGACGTAGACTTCGTGGAAAGGTCGGCTTCTTTCCACACTCCTTATTTTTTTCCCCAAGTTCTCCGGTACCGGTACGATCTCCACAATTTTCTGCTTCTTTTGGAGTCCCTACAGCAACATACTCATGCTCTCCAAGCCATTCCAAGCCATTTAACCCGCCTAGGCTTGGAATGGCTTGGAGAGCATGAGTATGTAGCACTGGATTGACCCTCTTCCTCACCAGACCTCAACCCGGATATTTTTCCCCACCAGCCAGGGCTTCTTCGACTGCTGCACCGTGATGAGACCTGTGGATTTTAACGTGATTCTAATGGTGAAAGGGTGCACAGTCGACCGTGCTATGTTACCCTAAGTTTCGCGACGGATGTGCTAGTTTTCGCCACTCTGTTCGTAATGTTACCCTACAAAGGTACGACGAAGACGACCCATGAACAGACAGGACCAAACGGGTAATGGTCTCGTCTTTTCATGAAAAGACACACCTCAGTGTGGCTAGTCTAAGAGATCACATTCAATCACAAATCGTGCACAATACCCTTGCATACGCTCAAATCCTTCGCGATTTTCCTAGTGCTCACCCCTTAATGCAAGAGGGTGGGTCCAAGAAGAGTGTGAGAAGATCCCTGCAATAGTTTGCACTAACCTCGTAGATAACATGCCTAGGAGGGTACGTGTGGTGATCAAGGCCAAGGGTTGGTGGAATAGGTATTAGAAACGTTGTTCGGAAGTTTGTGCTTTGTCCTGGGAAACAATTGTTCGGATGGACTCTTTGGATATCTTTTGACACTAAGTTAGATCCAGCTTACTATTATGGATTATAGCACTATGAACACATCCACCATATGCCACTCCCAAAGCGTACCACCATTAAAGATTAAGCCTTTATGTACAGTGGTCGGAATGCCAAAAAACCCTCGTTAATGCAACTGCCCGGATGTTTTGCATCACTGTTGTTTCCGGACAGTTGGTCGGACAGTTGTTTCCGTCACTGTACATCCCAATATTCCATACACAACTTTTCATTGATTCCTACTCCTGAGCCGGCAGCTGGTCGAGGCTGCCCGGAGAAAGGTTCTTCTCTAGGGCCCGGAGTTTCCTTGATGACTGTGTGTGTCGTTGATGCTGAAGTTGCTGAACTGGATGCATCCGAAGGAGGAGTTCAGGGCCTTTGCAGCTTCTTGTAGACCCCCAACTTCCTCTTGAGTTGCTTCAGCTCCACCAACAACTTCCCTGGGGAATAGGTAGTCGTTGTGGGCTGGTGTCGGGAGAGGACGTAGTTTCGTGGAAAGGTCGGCTTCTCTCCACACTCCTTATTTTTTCCCCCAAGTTCTCCGGTATCGGTACGATCTGCACAATTTTCTGCTTCTTTTGGAGTCCCTACCGAAATTTCTCCAAGGCTCTAGCCCCTCGAGAATCATAAGTTTTCATTGAAGTATCTTTATGAGATTACTTTAACAATTCCTTATAATTTCTTGGGTCTTCTAGCAGTTTCCCCGTCTCGGCAGAGTCTTTTTTCGCGGAGTCAGATTTTTTCTCGGCGATTTTCCCTGGCGAAGTCTGGTCGTGTGGTGGATATTTTACCCTGTCATTTTCTCCAGCTCGCGTCGAATCAGCTTCGTTGAATTTGATTTTTCCAGAATCCTGCGGCCGCTTCCAGAATCCAACTAGATTCGCCATCACTGGCGATTCCCGTTTTTTGTCTTCAGATTGGCTGAAGGATTTCCGCCACTGTTGCGTGTCCGATACTCTGCACGTGCGGCTTTCATTTTGTTGCAGTCGAAGATTCGATGGCTCGGCACCCCGCATAAATCACACGTGAAGTTGATGTTTTTTTTACGTGGCCGCCCGTCGAACTTGTCGAATTCCATCGGGTCGGCAAACTGAGCGGTCGCCTTGTCACGTACTGCCAACATGTGCCCGTCATATTCCAGTGTTGACCATGTTAAACCGCTCCGCTGCCGAAATGACGTCACTGTAGCTCACGTAATTTGTCGCTGCTACATGTCGTTTGACTTCGGTCTTCAACTCGGCGAGATACAACTGTACTTGTTCCCCTTCGGTCAGGTCGGGAATGCAGTTATAAAAATCCTCCATCTGCTGCATGTACTGTGCTACACTCCCAAATTGTCGATGGCGATGATTTTTTTCTCGGGCAAGGAAACCGGAATTTATTGGCTCGAAACGTTTCAGCAGGTCGGTGCGGAACTGCTGCCACGTGGCTTCACCGTGGATGAAGGTACTGTTGCCGCCGATCCAATAGAGTGCCAGCCCTCGCATTAGTGTCACCGCGAGTCACACGCTTTGACCGTCCCAGACTGGCGAGCTCCATCTGACGGCTGCGAAGGAGATCTCCATGTCGGCGATCCATCTGCGGACGTCAGAATTTTGATCGCTCGGATTGAATGGCTCAGGTGGGTGTGGCTTCGGAGCCTTTAGAACCTGCTGCGACTGCTGTGTCGTCGCCGTTGTCGTTTCGTGCTGTGCGCCGGTGAATCGAGTTACTCGCTCGAACTTGTTTCGCCAAGCTTCGCGGCCGGCTCGCATCTCCCCCTGTAGGGCGGCGATGCGCGCAAAGAGCTGCTGGGTAACCTCGGTGTTGTCGAAGTTCGCCATCCTGTTCAAAACACGCGCGGAGGGGTTAATTAAAAAACGCGGAGCTGGTGCTTATCAGAATCGGCGCCGAATTAGTCGCCCCCGACGGTTTTTCGAGGAAGGTTTTCCCGCTGCTGCTGCTTAGCTGAGCACGACCGAGCGAGAAAAGCTCTGATTACCAAGTGTCACATGATCGAATGTGTCGATGAAAAGTTGCACTATGGATTGATACAAGGCGCTTTTATGCCTCCAAGGTACATCAGGTAACCAGGTTTATCCTATCCGAAGGGAATAGACCATTCTAGAAATAGAATCGGCCTGCGTACATCCACGCGAGGCAATTGGCTTTAAGGGATTACGACAGAATTATGCTAGATATAGCGCGTCAGTACATCCTGAGCCTGGTCGGTAATATAATTATAATAATAGGATAAACCAAAGGATAATGGAAAATAAGGAATAGGAAACCAAATGAGATGAGAGAAAGATCAAAGGAATCAAGATAAAAAGAAGAATGAGGGTTCTAGATATAGGGGTGCTAGTTCTGCGGGTGCTAGTCCTCGGGGTGCTGTCGTGACGAGTCCTAGAGGTAACCGTCCTGCAGCTGGAGGTCCTGGTGTGGGCGCGGAGCAGCAGCAGCAGTAGCATCAGCAGCAGTTGCCGCCAGTGTCTGCCCTTCGCCTCCTCAGTCTTCCCTTCCCCGACAAACCGCCTGCGCCTCCCCCAGCACCGCCTTCTTCTCCTATCTAGGGCATTGTGTTCTCTCCGCCAAACTCCTCCCCGGCTCGTTTTCCCCCTTGTTCTCCTCCAGTGTCTCCTCCTTTGTCTCCTAGCCCTACCCCCCCCTCTCGCTGGTTGCCTCACCGTCCCTCTCCTGCTCGTCCCGCCCCTCCCGCTCCGAGTGTCCACCCTATGTCTCTCTGTTCAAACACGTCTCCTGCTCCTCCCGCGCTTCTTCACGTCGCCTCCTTATTCGTCCCTCTCTGTCTCCTCGCCTCCTCTCTATGACTTCCTCCATGCCAATCACCCTTGGGTTCCTCGTGTCCTCGTCTCTCTTGTTACCGACCCATCAGTTCCTGCCTAGAGTCTCTCGGCTCTTGTCGTAGCCGTCGCTGACTTTGCCTCTATCTGCTGCCTTGACTACGCCACTACTCTGGTCTCTGACCCTGCCCGTCCTCCGTCCGTCGGGGGTGCTCATGCCCTTGGCAGTGATGTCATAGAGGACAGGCAGTACGAGCTAGCTTTCCTTCCGGAGGCCGCTCCTCACCCTTGCTCCATGCTGCTAGCCCCTGAGGGTGACCCAGATGCTCTTGACATCCCGACCCCTCGCACCTACACTGGGGCGACTTCGGGACCCTGGGCCTCTAAGTGGATAGCTTCCATGGTTGCAGAGATGGCATCTTGGAGATCCACCGGCACGTTCATCGACGCAGTTATCCCATCTGCGGCGAAACGTAATCAAAGGCCGGTGGCACTTCAAGGTGAAGCGCCCGCCTGGAGAGCCGCCGGTGTTTAAGGTGTGCTACGTTGCTAGAGGTTTCTGTCAGGGCGAGGGGGTTGACTTCTCCCCGACCTTCGCCCCGACCCTGAAGATGACCACTCTTCGGGCGCTGCTTCACGTAGTAGCACAGTGCGACTACGAGCTTCACTTACTTGACTTCTCCACTGTGTTCCTCCAGGGCATTCTGCATGAGCAGATCTACCTGCGCCGTCTGACAGGCTTCTCTGAATCTTTCCCTCCAGTGCTCGGTGCCCTGCGCCATCTGCCATGCTCTCAGGGGTTCCTCCGGTGCCCGGTTTTTTGCCTGCGGAAGACGCCCCATGAATGGAACGACACGCTACGTGCTACACTAGCAGACCTCCACTTCTTTCCGTCCTCTTCTGACCCGTCTTTCTTCGTTCCCTAAGGCCAGACCCCGTTCTACAACTTAGTCTTCGTAGATGACCTGGTCTTCGCTACTGTAGACAGAGACACACCACCCTAGATGAAGGCCTAGCTGTTGAGAAAACACCCCTGAACTGACTTAAGAGAATTGCGCCACTACCTTGGGCTGCAGATCTCCATGGACAAAGGAGCGCGCACCATCACTCTCACACAGTCACACTTGGTGCGCCAGGTCCTTCAGAGGTTCGGTATTAAGTTCTCCTCCGCACACCCCACGCCTCTGCCAGTAGATCACAGGCTCTTGGCTCCAGTCCCTGAGGGGTCGGTAGAGCCTAGTGGTCCTTACGCAGAGCTGGTGGGTTGCCTCATATACCTGATGACTTGCACTCCTCCAGATCTCGCATACCCTCTCAACATCCTGGCTTGCTTTGTGGCGATAGGCAGACACCGACCACAGCACTAGTCGGCCGCTAAGAGGGTTTTGCGTTATCTAGCAAGCACACCGGGCATGTGGCTAGTGCTAGGAGGACGCAGGCCAGTGGTCCTTACTGGGCACACAGACGTTTCATGGGCGGACGACGCTGAGACGCTTAGGTGCTCCCAGGGCTACTGCTTTACCATTGGTGCAGGCGCCATTTTGTGGAGGTCCACCCGCTCGTCGTCTGTTGCACAGTCTAGCTGTGAGGCTGAGGTCTACGCTGCTGCCATGGCGGCACGGGAGCTCCGCTGGCTGACGTTCCTGCTCACTGACTTAGGTGAGCGGCCAAGCTCTACCCCGGTCCTGTACGCTGACAACAAGGCCATGATCCTCCTGTGTCAGGAGCCTCGACTAGAGGGCAGAGCGAAACACATCGAGCTGCGATACTTCCTCCTGCGCGAGCTACAGCAGCGCGATCAGGCAAGCGTAGTACACTTACCCTCTTGTGCCAACAGAGCTGACATCTTTACCAAGGCGCTTGCGCCTAAAGATTATCAGCAGCACTGCTTACAGGTTAGTCTAGTTCCAGTAGCTCCTCACTTGCTAGGACCCTGACTTGTGTAACACTCCTTATATTATCTTGACTGGCCTTATGGCTCTTGTTCCAGTGGCTGGACTAGTAGTGCTGCCCTGAGCTGTGTGTCTCTTGCTAGGCACTGCCCGTTATGTAACCTAGGGGGTGTGTCAACTTATACATTTGACGTGCATGTCTTGTTATAGGCTAGACTGGTTGGTGCTCTTAGAGAGTACAACCCAAACCCTTATATCACCCTGTATGCTCTTGCCAGGGTTCACTTAGTTACTCTGACAAAGAAACCATTTAATTGTGCCCCAAAGCATTGGAGGCAAAGTTAGGCTTCCAAACCATCCTTGTACGGCATTTGCAGATGCTGAGACGTCAAATTCTGGCGCCCAATGGCGGAGGCTAATAGGGGGCTGTAGGAACAACCCATGCGACGGCTGGTGTATGGGGAGCCAGCAAAATGGAAAATTTGTAGAGAAAATCAAGCCTCCACTCACTGCAGATTATGTGTCTAAAATAGAACCAGGCGAGTATTGAACCCGCTATTCATACATGGATGAGAGTTGTGCTACTGGTCCTTGTATAAGAGTGGAATACAAACATACAAGTCAATTTTTTGTTGCGCATTGGTCGCGCTTTCTCAGTCGTCTCATGAGAACACCACTGACATTCCAGAGTCACACATGGGTCGCGGAAAGCGCGAGGCGGAAGGCAATCGCGACCGGGGGGGCAATGGAGGTCGGGGGAAATCGAAGCGGCACAAGTCGCGATACCTGAACGCTGTACGCCGCTAGCTCTGATCCATCGGAGTATCCTGCGAATAAACTCGTTATAAGCCTGCCGGTAACCGATGTCTCTTGCGAGCTCGTTAGTGCATTTGAGGTAGGTTAGTCTTACCGTGTGTTTCGTGTGGAAGTCGTACACGGTGTGAGTAGCAAGAGCGTCATACGCGGGCGTGTCACGGCGTTGGTGTGCACCGCTGCTGTGAGCCTTGCCGGTGTGAGCTCACTACTAGGTCACTAGGGTAACCCGATACCGAAGTAGCTTATCGAGGCCGGCCTTGACGCGAATGAGGATTTTTTGAAATTTACAGGCGTGAGCCGTGTCATGGCTACAAGCCTACCCGGCTTTAACTCGCGTTAGGGCTGCGTCTTCTCTCTTCCCTTCTGTGCCGGTTTTTGCGCATTCTTTTTCTTTGTCCCAATCCCCTCCCCCTCTCCCCCCTCCCCCCTGTCCCCAGAACCCTGTCCCGCTCTTCCCCTCTCCCCCTCCCTTCCCCCCATCAACCCCCTTAGTCTTCCCCCTCTCCCCCCTCCGCCCTGTCCCCAGAACCCTGTCCCCCGCTCTCCCCCACCAGCCGCCTTTGTCTTCCCCCTCTCCCCTCTCCGCCTCTCTTCTCCAGTCCTCACCAGCGCGGGCTGCGTGGTGTCATATGCCGCCGGATAGCAGCAGGGGGGCCTGGTTTTGCGTGCCACTCACTGGCAGAGGAATCTGTCTAATCTCTTTCCATTGTCTTGGCGCATGTTCCCCGGATGGGTCATCCAGAGTGGGGTGGGGGGAGCTTTTTGAGTCGACTCAAAAATCACGTACGGCCGATCCCCATCGCGAATGGCAGCAGAGGGGGGCTGCAGGTGTCGCGTGTTACCGGCTGTGAATGATGGTTTCGCTTACTCTTTCTTTCCCTCGTCTTACTGCTCCTTGTTGTGCTTGACTCAGAGTGGGGGTGGGGCCGGACCTGTAGCGGATGGCAGCAGGGGTTGGCCTGGCCGGTGTCGTGTGTGACTCAATAGCGGGGAGATCTTTGCTATCCTTTGTTCTGATTCCTGCTCCTTGTGCTTGACCCAGAGTGGGGGAGCGGCCGGCCCTGTCGCGAATGGCAGCAGGGGGTGGCTGGTGTCGTGCGTTACCGGGAGGGAGAGGGAGTGCGGCAGAGAGATAATCAACGTGTTGGATGAGGTGGGTCGCAATAGAGGTGAGTGACCCGAGGGGGGTAGCACGAGGGAAGGGAGGATGGCTGGTTTCGTCTCTTTCGGCAAGGAAGAAGGAGAGCGGCAGAGAGTGCAGCAGAGATGTTATCAACATGGTATACGAGGTGAGTCACATGGCCGCTTTTGAAATCGGGAAAGAAAAGAGGAGGCATGCAAAAGGGTTGAGAGATGGGGTTTGAGGGGGTTCAAGGCTCAGGTGCAAGGGGGGTTATGAGCAGTAAGGTCCAGTTGGCTAGGGTGGTGAACATTGTTACAGTTTTGATCAAATGAGTCGAAACTTGATTTGGTTGTATCGTGCCTGAGAATATGGGTAGTGTAGATCATCCAATTAGATGCTTACGGTTCCTCTGTCCAGGGGGGGCTAGGTTATAGCAGTCTACAAACTTAGGTTCGTTTGAGCAGTGCTGGAGGGTTCGTTTTTACTGCTTATATTCTGGATAATAATAGTTAAGGGTTTCTTTGTGCAGGGGGGCTTAAACAAGTAGCTGACTTTATGGGAGAGGTTAGGGTTTAGCATGCTGCAAAGGTGCGAGGAGGTTTCCAGGGTGAGGAGGAGGGGCTAGGGGCGACTGGGGTGGGCGTGTCTGCAGGGAAGGCGGCTGGGGAAGGCTTACCTGAGCGCTTGTTGCTTTTCCTTCTCATCCCCCTTCTTGCCCCGGCAGTGGTGTGACAAGCTGCTGGCCAGCAAGGGGCAGGCAAAGACTGGGGAAGGCGCATCTGCAGGGAAGGCGAAAGGGGGTTCGTCCATCGATGCTCTCCTGGCGAATGAAGTGGCGACTCTGAAGAAAAAGGTCCGCGTGTTGGTGATAAAGGGGTCCACACGTTGGTGCTAATGGGGGTACATATGCTCTGTCTGTCTGTCTGTCACAAGCGAGTTTGAAAAAAGGTTCGTCCATCGATGCGCTCCTGGCGAGTGAAGTGGCGACGCTGAAGAGAAAGGTCGGTGCATTGTGGAGAAGAGAGAAGGTGCCATTTCTCACCCTACACGAACAACTGGTTACAAGGGAGGTTCATCCATCAATGCCGTGCCCTCCTGGCAAATGAAGTGGTGATGCTGAAGAGAAAGGTCGGTCTGAGGGCGTGGTACCTACGGTTCTGCTGGCCCAGTTCCAAAACTGAGTTTCAAAGTTCCACGCGTCGGAACAGGTCAGGTCGGGCATATTGAGTCTCGAACGCCACTCTGACCCGACAGAAAAGTGCACACGGGCCGAAAGCCTCATCATTCAAATTTTCGAATGCTGCCGAAATGACACGGGATTGAACGAAGGCGTGCGAAACCAACCAATACAAGAGCGAGAGAAACACCCCGCGCCATCCTTCCCATCCAACTCTTCCCTACCCCGCGAAATCGTCTCACTGCGCTCTGCAATCCCTGATGCAACGGTGTTTCACGCTTGCAATTTCCGCCGTGTCACAAGCATTTGGTTCGGGGTGATTCTACTTGGTGGAAAGCGCTGCTCTGCGGATACCCTTCCGTTCAAGCACTGCTGTGATTCTTCTTCTGTTCTTTCTAAAAAACATTTTTCGTGTTCTCCCTTCCTGCATGCATATCTCGCCGTCTCGTGCCCTGCTCTCCTTCCCCTTCCTGGCTTGTTTCATGAGTGTGGAATTGAGGTTCAAAGTCCTTCTGTTCTGTGGTTATCCCCCAACCTCTTCCTCCACCCTTACCCTCTTTCCCCCAGGCTCGTTTTGTGAGTGTGGACTCTGGGTGCAAGGCGCTGCTGTTTGTGAGAATGACAGAGGGTGGCAAGAAATGGGGGGGAGAGAAGGGCGGAAAGCAGGAGGAGGAGGAGGAGGACGACGACGACGACGACGGGGGAGTAAAGGAGGAAACAGAGGGAGGGAAGGAGAGCAAGGAGGGAGGAAAGGAGGAAAAGGAGGGAGATAAGGAGCAAGAGAAACAGGAGGCAGGAGGAAAGAAGGAAGCAAAGGAGAAAGGGGGGGGGAAGGAGGAAGAGAAAGGGGAGTCTGCGCAGGCGGGGGTATCACCGTGCGAGCTGGCTCAGGCGGTCTTGAGACATGCCAAGGACACACAGCAGTCCGCCACTCGGTGGGTGTGAGGTGGCCTGCATGTGTGCTTCATTAATAGAATACACGAGGACGACATGCAAGGTCGGCCGTGTGTGCATGACTAAGTGGGCAAATTCGTTGGGGTCCCCCAGCGTTTTGCGTAAATTCGTAAGCGTAAATTCGCAAACGTGAATTTACCTGAAATTCGCGAAACGCTGGGGGAAAATTTTCGGGGCAGCCCGGACAAAAAAACACGAATTTCCCAACTTGATTCTCAGCGACTTGGCGAAGCCATCCGTGGCCTCACCAATTCGCGATTGTAACTTTTGAACCTCCAAACATGCTCCCAACCCCTCCCACGCTCCCAACCGCATCAAACCCCACCGCATCTAGAGAACCCAACCCATCCACCACCCAACTTACGCAACCATATCACGCACGCATCTCACACGCTACTCTACCAGACGTAGAGTAGATCTAGCTTATCACTCCGCGTCATAGCTAGAAGATCTAGTTTTAAGCATAGACATTAGCTTACCTCATGAGTATGGTTCATCATCTTGCTGTAGGTTGCTGCAGGGCTGTTAATGCCAAGGATACCCCCCAAACTCTAGAACATGCTATTGCCATAAACTTTCAGAAGCAATAATAATTTCCTGCTAAAACTTTCTTGCCTAAAAAGAGTTGCTCTGAAACCCCCCACGCCCCCCCTACCTGGGGACTTTTTTTTGGGCCTGCCCGAGCATTTTTTTTCCTGCCCGGGCGGAACGAATTTCCCAACGAATTCAAAACAGGGCCCTGGCGTTCGGGCGAATTTACTCCAGCGTAAATTCGTTAGCGAATTTACGCGAAACGCGAATTTTCCCACTTAGGTGCATGATACGAGGAGAGGGGGAGGGAAATGGGTGAAAGAGTAGAAACGGAAGAACTTCCCTCATTTCCACACACTTCCCTCCTTTTTATCCTTTCTCTTATCCAGCTTCACCCTCCATCTGCTGCCAGTGGAAACCACCTGCTACGCCTCCCAGGAGGAGATAGGCCAGGCCATTCAGCCCCTCATTGCCGCCCACTTCCACCATCCTTTTCTCTTGCTGCATTCCTCTTTCCGTAACCCCCTGCTTCCCTCCAGCTTCACCCTCCGCCTGCTGCCAGTCGAAACCACCTGCTATGCTTCTCAAGAGGAGATTGGTCAGGCCATTCAGCCTCTCATTGCCGCCCACTTCCCTGCTGTTGGCCAATCAGCAAGCGACACGCCAGGGGACCAGCCCCAAGGACTAACGGTAGGTGTATCTAGTTTTGGGTAATCGTTGACCCTTGATCAACATCCACAAAGCGTGACTTTTGAGTCGGCTCAAAAGTTACCTTTCTAATCGTTGACCCTTGGTGAGTAAAAAGTTACCTTTGTAATCGTTGACCCTTGGTGCGTAGAAAGTTTCCTTGGTCATCGTTGACCCTTGGTGCGCAGAAAGTTTCCTTGGTCATCGTTGACCCTTGGTGCGTAGAAAGTTTCCTTGGTAATCGTTGTCCCTTGGTGCGTAGAAAGTTTCCTTGGTCATCGTTGGCCCTTGGTGAGTAAAAATTTACCTTGGTCACCATCCAAAGAGAGCCGTTGAGAAGCAAGCAAGCCGATTAGGGCCGTAACCTTTCCTTTACAGGCTCACTGTACATTCTCTTTAAAAGGTCCCCATTCATCATCCCATCCCGTTGCATACTTTCCCTTCTGTGTTCAGTTCGCAATCATCTTTGAGAAGCGAGCCAACGAGGGCCTTGACCGGGCGGCAGTCATTGACACTGTAGCAAAGCTGGTGCCTGTACCCCATAAAGTGGATCTCAGTAACCCTCAGAGGACCATCATGCTGCAAGTGGTGAAGGTATGTACGACATGCATGCATGAGCCATGGTGTGTGTTCACATATTATGGTGTGCATAGCTGCTGCCTGTACCCCATAAATTGGACCTCGGTATCCCGCAAACGACCATCATGCTGCAAGTGGTGAAGATAAGACATGCATGCATGCACCATGATGTGTGTTGTAAACCAGTGTACCAAGCTGGTGCTGTACCCCTTAAAGAGGATCTCAATGATCGCACAAGTCCATCATGCTGGAAGTGGTTAAGGTATGACATGCATGTCTGCACCATAGTGTGTGTTCATAAGCCATGGTGTGCCAATCTGGTGCCTGTACCGCATCTGGTGGTCCCGCAGAGGACCATCATGGTGTAATTGGTGAAGGTACAACCTGTGTGCATAAAGTTTTGTGTCTACCTGGGTGCTGAGGCACCTTAGAACTCAATTGGTGAAGGTATGTTTTGCACCATGGTATGCCAAGCTGGTGCCTGTACCCAATAAAGTAGAGTGCAGAGTGTGCACGAGAGCATCGTGCTGCAAGTAGCCAAGTTGTGTGCCGCACACAAGCCTAAGGGAGCTCTGCCAGTGCCCACCCACAGTAGCTGAAGTCATTGCTGCTCAGTTGGTGGAATTCAGAGTGTGCAGTACTTCCTGTTTGTGTTGGCTTCTGCTCCCCAGTCCATCCCCCCTATGTCAACCTAATGAGTCCCTGCCTTTGGTTTTGTCCCTTGGATGGGAGGTGGAAGCCTGGAGTGTGGTTTCGTGGTGTAGTTGGTTATCACGTCAGTCTAACACACTGAAGGTCTCCGGTTCAAGTCCGGGCGAAGCCATTTTGGTTTCATCTGTTGTTGTTCTTTCTTCCTTTGTCCCCCTTTCTCTCTTACTTCAATTCTCTAGCCAAGTAAGAGCTGCGCCCCTTGTGCATCCCTCCTTCTCACTCAAATCTCCTCCCTCCTCCCTCTTCTCCTGGTGTTCCCTTCCTCTTTTCTCTCCTCTCATAACGCTTGTTCATGTCCATCCTCCCTTCTAATAATCTTCTGCTCCTTTCCTCCCAGACCATCTGTTTCAGCTCTATCCTCTCTAACTTCAAGCTCGTGGCCAGTTCTGACCATGTGCAACCTGCGCCAGTTGTGCCGCCGTCTCGCTCCCCCGCACTTCAATTTCTATTCTTCCGACCTCCCTTGCCCTCTTTCTCTCTCTCTCAGGCCATTCTGTTCCATTTCCATCCTCGCACAAGTTTCAATTCCATCTTTCTCCTTCTCTCCCAGACCGTGTTTTTCATCTCCATTCTCTCACGCTTCAAGGCTCTTGCCAAGTACAACCTGCAGAGCGCTCACACACTCAGACCTTTGCTATCCTGAATTTCCCATTCTCCTGGATGTCTCCCTTCCCCTCCCAGACTGTTTCATTCATTTCCATCCTCTCAGACTTCAAGCCGCTCGCCAAGTACAACCTGCGCCAGTTGTGCCTCCCTCATTTCACCCCCCTCTTCTCACATCCATACTCTCCCTGCTCGCTCCCCCCTCCCTCTCCATCCCAGACCGTCTGCTTCATCTCCATCCTCTCAGATTTCAAGCTGCTCGCCAAGTACAACCTGCGCCAGTTGTGCCTCCCTCCGGAGGAAGCCAAACCTGCTGGGGAAGCCAAACCCAGTGCTGCTGGGGAATCCAAGCCTAATTCTACTGAGGAACCTAAGGCTACTACTGCTGGGGAAGGAAAGGCTAGTGCTGACGATGCAGGGGCTAAAGATGCAGCCGCTGTCACTGGTGCTGGTAGTGCTGATGATGATAACAAGGACGCATGAGCTGAGAAGAGGTTGGTGGTTGGTAGTTCACAGGATGAGGCGAATCCATTGTATCGTTCATTTCCAGCAATCTTGGAGAATGCTTGCATTCAGTTCAGATTCTATTATTTTTCCACCTCATCGTTATGAGAATGTTGTCTATCCCGTTGATCAAGGTATGAACGCCACAAAGAAACCTAGTGCTATGTGCACACACACGGATACTGTTATGACATTCCATTCATCACAACACATTCCCTGGCAGTAGTGTTTGGTTTGTTGCAGACAACTTCCTAGAGGGTGTCAACATATAAGTGTTTATGTTATAGACTAGATAGGTGCATGCTCATAGAGAGTTTAACACATTCAGTTATATCCCCTTGTATCCCCTCATTCTACTCAATTCGTTATCTTTAGATGGTATCACGCTAGCCTAGGTCCTCCCCACCCACCCGCGCTTCCGCCCTAGCCCTAGTCCTAGTCCTAGTCTTAGTCCTAGTCCTAGTCCTAGTCCTTGCTCTTTCCTTAGCCCGAGATCGTAGGCCCGCGCTCGTCGCCTCGCGCTCGTCTCCCCGCGCTCGTAGACCCTGCTCGTCGCCCCGCACTAGCTGGCCCCGCTCGTCGCCCCGCGCTAGTGGGCCCGCCCTCGTCGCCCCGCGCTTGCTGGCCCGGCCTCGTCGCCCCACGCTCACTGGCCCGCCCTAGTCGCCCCGCGCTCGCTGGCACATGCTAGCGGGCCCACGCTCGCCGACCCCGCGCTAGCTGGTCCATGCCCGCTGGCCCTGTGCTCGCTGGCCCACGCCCGCTGGCCCCGCGCTGACTGGCCCCCGAGCTAGCTGGCCCCTAGCTCGCTGGCCCCTCATTAGCCAGCCCCGAGCTCGCTGGCCGCTCGCTTGCCGGCCCCTCGCTCGCCGGCCCCGTAGCTAGCCAGCCCTCAGCTCACCGGCCCCCTTATTAGCCGGCCCCCAGCTCGCCAGCCCCCCTTCCTAGCCGCCCCCCCCCAGCTCGCCGGCCCCCTTACTAGCCGGCCCCCTTACTAGCCGGCCCCCTTCCTAGCCGGCCCCTCGCTTGCTGATCTCGCTCGCGCCGACCGCGGTCCCGCCATGCCACTGTGCTGAGCCGTCGTGCCGCGGTGCTGCAGTGCCGCACCACCGATGTGTTCCCGTGCTGCCGTGCCGCAGTGCAGCCGTGACGCTGTGCCGCCGTGCCACAGTGCCGCCATGCCATAGTGCCGCCATGCCGCCATGACGTCGTGCCGCAGTGTCGCCGTGCCGCTGTGTCGCCGTGGTGTCGTGCCGCCGTGTCGCCGTGGCGCCATGCCGTTGTCTCGCCGTGTTGTCGTACCACGGTGTCGTCGTGCCGCCGGGCCGCTGTCAGCAGCTGAGGACGTGGGATGGCGGACGTTGTGCTTCGCCTGGATGCGGAGGGCCGGGCGATTGACTTTGAGGCGTGGCTCGTCGACCTTCGCCGTCATCTGACAGGTTAGCGCCAAGACGGTTACTCCCTGGCTGTTCATGTCGATGGTATGCTCCCCTCCCCCCCCCCCCCGCCTGCTGCCTTCCCTGGCGCCCCCACCACTGCTAAGCGTGAGGCCTTTTCCGCTGCTGCGCTTGCTTGTGCTTCATGGGAGTCACGTGACGCAGTCGCGCAGCTTGCTATTACCCACGCCCTCCCCCTGTATGAGCGTCCCCGCTTTACCACTGTAGCAAACGCCAAGGAATTCCTAGATGCAGTCGTTGCACACTATTCCACGCCCTCCTCAGCCTCTGCTGGCCACCTGATCCTCCCCATGCTGTTCCCTGATCTTGCGTCCTTCCCCACTGTCGCTGACCTTGCCACCCACCTCCGCGCGCTTGAGACTAGCTACCGCGCCGCGAGCACTGAGGCCCAGCTCACTACCTTCCCGCCGCCACTTTGCGCTACCCTTTACCTCATAGCCATGCGCCTTCCTGACCGCCTACCCACTGCCCGCGACCACTTCCTTAGTCAGCACCCAGGTGACCTCACCCTTACCGCCTTTGTCACCGCCCTGTCCACGATAGAGATCCGCCAGTGCACTATCGCTCAGTCTAGCGGCACTGCTACGATCCCTATCTTTCAGGGCTGTGCTCCCTCCCATTGCACTTACTCTAACATTTCTGCCGCTATTTCTGAAACCGCTGCAGCGCCCTCAGCGCAGCCGCGTCAGGGTAGGGGCCGCCGCCCCAAGGGGGGGCATGGCGGAGGGAAGGGTGGTGGGGGTGGTGAGGGTGGCGAAGGTGGGGGCGGGGACGGTGGCTTAGACGAGGAAACCGGGGCTGGTGCCCCGGAGCAGCAGCAGTAGCAGCTGCAGCCTCAGCAGCAGCAGCAACAGACTCAGCTGCAGCAGCAGCAGCAGCAGTCGCCGTGGGGACCCCCGCTGCCATGGTGGACTGGCGTCACTGATGGTGGTCGTGGTAGTGGTGGGGGGCGCAGCACGGTGTCGGGTGGCGCCTCCAGTGTAGTCACCTGTCAGTACCAGCTTCAGTCCGGCCCCCGCCGCGGCACCGTCTGCGACCGTCCTGGTCACACTGCCGCGCGCTGCTACCGCCGCCTCGACGACCTCTTTCGTCTCCGCTTCGGCCCCACGGCGGATCCCCTCGACTGGTACAGCTTGGTGTGTCGACGGATCAGATTAGGTCTGCACCGACAGACCGAACAAGCCAATCAGACGATGGAGCAGCTGATTCGTGCCACCTGCGATGACGTGGCCGACTGGGAGCAGCAACTACCACTGATTGATTTCGCGTATAATAACGCCCTGCCTGCCACTACACTACAATCACCATTCTACCTGAATTACGCCCAACATCGAAAATCCTGTACCTCGAGCCCAACAGTTCGCCGAAATATTACAGAATGCCCGGGAGCGAGCAACCGAAGCCATCAAGCGTGCGAATGTTATTTCTAAGCGCAACGCCGATCTACATCGACGAGCAGTAACTTACCAGGCTGGAGATTTAGTATAGCTTGACACCCGCAACCTTCGACTGCCCATCGTCCCAAAACTTCGCCCTCGCTACTGTGGACCGTTTACCATCAGTCACTTGACTTCTTCCGTTACAGCCTATCTACTGTTACCGGCACATCATTCCACGTGCAATTAATTCGACCATACATCGCCAGCACCAGTAAGTTACCACGTCACCGAGCGAATCTGAACATCCGACTGCTTGCCGAGCCTACTGTCGAACATGCGAAGGTTCTCAGCCATCGGATCAAGGACCCTCGCGGGGCCCGCCTCATCGAGTTTCTGATATCCTGGAAGGACCAGACCGCCCTGGAAAACAGTTGGGTGCCCCTGACACCGATCGAGAAATACCCGGTGTTACGAGCCTACCTTCAGTCACGCAGTGTGGGCGACGTCGGCGGTCTTAGCTAAAACCATACCTTGGAGAGGGGAGGGTGTAACGAAAAGGTATTTTCTTATCATGGGTTTTAGTTAGTAAGGCGTACACAGTTATAACAGGCTTGTCATGCAGCTCTGCCACGAAATCCAAATCGCGGTACCCAAATGTGGCCTCCTAACGAGCCGCATGCATTTTGCCCGCCTTGTTGTTTCATACCTAGATCTGGGCGCTTCGCGCCAATTTATGAACCACATCTCGCAGCTTTGCCGAGCCATGACCGTGTGCTCTAGGCTAGCTATATCCATGCTCACTGCTGTTTTGATGTTGCCTCAGTTGTATTGTTTCCTCGTTACTCAATCCTTCGACACACGCGCTTAGCGCTTCATTACAAGTCCCCACGACCTGAAACCAAAACCTGGGAAGGGAATCTATTGAACCCATTCTGAAATATGTCTACTCTCGAATTGAGAGGCTGGACAGCCCTATACTCATTACAGAAAGATAGTAAGGAACAGGGCTGACGTTAAAAGAAAAAGGCCCTGAGCTGTCGACATTAAAAACAAAAAAAACAACAAAAAAACAAACAAAAAAAACAAACAAACAAACCCTGATGGCCCTATGTTGAGAATCTGACCTCCCTGATAACCTAGTGTTCAGGAAACAACAACCCTAAAATCAATAGGGTTGGCTAATACTATTCAAGGTTCTTACTACATTGGAAAATGTCACCACCCCTACAGTTATCACCACTCACTAAGATAACCTACTTTGGGTATCTCGCCAATATTGCTACTCTAGAAGTCTGGAACATCCATTGTAACATCATCCTCTGCCTCATCATCGGAGAGGAACGGATTGTCCTCGATGACCAGAGCATCCTCCCCCTCATCATCACCCTCCTCCTCCTCCTCCCAGTCCCCCATGTAGTCGGGGCCTCCCTCCTCCCGCACATCAGCTCCCTCTACTGCCTTCGCCTTGCGCTTCCGCGTCGCGGAAGCAAACATAACCGACTTAGCTGGGCGGCGCAGCTTCTCACGCCACCACTCTAGAGCCTCACCCCAGTTGATGTCACACTGTAGCAGGGAGATGAGCATGAGCTCACTCAAGTGCGCATTGCACAACGCGCCCCGAACCCAAGACTTGATGGCGTTCTGCATGGAGAAGCCGCGCTCACACTCCACAGTACTCGGAGGGAGTACTGCGCACGCTTGCCACCGTCGAATGAGATTGGGCCAGCGCCTACCAAGGGCGTTTAGGGTGGAGACATGCACCGTTGTTAGAGATCCTTGGTTAGAAGCCGGGGTGTAAACTCAACACCACAACCTATTAAACTGCGTCCAAACACTTACAAGCTAAACACATTAAAGTGCGCAAATAGTTCGACATGCCCTGCGAGAAGCCCTCGTCGGCATGGTGACTCAGCATCAGCGGCGCCCACATCTACAGCTCCTTTTCTGCAGCCGCGACTTCACGAAGGTCATCGTGTCATGGGCGAACTTCGCGCAGAGTAGCTCGCAGTCGGGGTAGGTGCTCCGATACTTGTGGCCCTTGATTTGTCGCTCGTACATGGTGTAGGTGTGGGTGACGGGGTTGCCGTCCTTGTCGATGCCCCACACCATGCCCGAATACCATTAAGAAAGCCGACAACCACGTGCCATCGACGCCCCCCTTGAACACCTCGCCACACTCCAGGTATCGGTGGCGGAGATCCCCGGTCGCCTCGTCAATGACCTTCGTCACCTCGGTAACATCGACCTGGTGGGGGGGGGGGGGGGGACAGGGAGGGGCAAGCATGAGTAAGAGC